AAAAAAAAAAAAAAAAAAAAAAAAATAGCTGTTCAAACTGGGCTGAGATGCCTATTTTATTGGCAGTTTTCTTCACAGTTTTTTTGGCTATGTTATCCTGGTAATATGTGCCTAAAAGGAATTAAGAAATTGTTGCTGACATACTGAGCTGCCAGAAGGCCTAAGGGAAAAGGAGTAGGTAAGGTAGACCAGCTGACTTGGCGTCAGTAATGATTTCTAGGGTCTTCAAAAAATTTTTGGAAACCTTACCGAAAAGCAGAGTATTCTAAGTAAATAGAAATGATATATACCATGTTCATGAATTGGATGGCTCGGTTTGTAACCTTTTGTTTTCTTTTGTTTTGTTTTTTGAGACAGGATCTACACTCCAGTTGCCCACACTGGAGTGCAGTGGTGTGGTCATAGCTTACCATAGCCTCAATCTCCTGGGCTCAAGCAGTGCCCCCACCTCAGCCTTCTAAGTACCTAGGATTACAGACATGCACTCCTATGCTCAGCTAATTTTTTTGATTTTTAGTAAAGCCAATATATCACTTATGTTGCCCCGGCTGATCTCAAACTCCTCAGCTCAAGCAGTCCTCCTGCCTCAGCCTCCCAAAGTGCTGGGATTACAGGTGTGAGCCACTATGCCTAGGCTTTCATATTGTTAAGGTGCCAGTTCTCTCCTAATTGATCTCCAAATTAAATACAATACCAGTCAAAACCCCAATAGGCCTTTAAGAAATTGATGAGCTGGTTTTAAAATTTTACTTGGATATCCAAAGGACCTGAGATAGCTAAAACAATTTTGAAAAAGAACAAAGCTTGAGGACTTACATTTCCTTATTTCAAGACTTATTGCAACAATACAGTAATGAAAACAGTATGGTATTGACACAAAGATAGACATGTAGATTAATAGAAGAGAGTAGAGTCCTGAGATAGATGAACATATGTGGTTAGTGGTTTTTCAACAAAGGTGTCAATAAATTAGAGAAAGGGTATTCTTTTCAACAAATGCTGCTAAAACAATTGAGTATCATGCACAAAAAATGAACCTCTACTTTTACCTCACATTACATACGAAAATGAACTGAAAGTAGATCACAGAAGTAAACGTAACTTCTTTTTTTTTTTTTTTTTTTGACAGGGGCTTGCTCTTTCCCCCCGGCTGGATTTCTGTGACACAATCTCGGCTCACTGCAACCTCTGCCTCCCAGGTTCAAGCGATTCTTGAGCCTCAGTCTCCTGAGTAGCTGGGATTACAGGAGCCCACCACCACACCCAGATAATTTTTGTATTTTTAGTAGCAACAGGGTTTTACCATGTTGGCCAGGCTGGTCTCAAACTCCTGACCTCAGGTTATGCGCCTGCCTCAGGCCACCATGCCTGGCCCATAATGTAACTTCTAAAAGAAGAAATCTAAATTACCTTGGGTTCGGCAAAGATGTTGTAAGTCCATTACAAAAAGCATAAACTGTAAAAGAAAAAAATCGCCTTGGGCAATATAGTGAGACCTTGTCTCTATTTAAAAAAAAAAATTCAAGCACCTGTTGTCCCGGATGCTCCAGAGGCTGAGGTGGGAGTATCACTTGAGGTGGAAGTTGCAGTGAGCCCAGACTAGACAACAGAGTGAGACCCTGTCTCAAAAAAATAAAAATAAACCAGATGTGGTGGCTCAAGCCTGTAATTCTAGCACTTTGGGAGGCTGAGGTAGGCAGATTACTCAGGGTCAGTAGTTCAAAACCAGACTGTCCAACATGGCAAAAGCTCATCTCTACTAAAAATACAAAAATTAGCTGGGTGTGGTGGTATGTACCTATAATCCCAGCTACTCCAGAAGCTGAGGCAGGAGAATCACTTTAAGCTGGGAGGTGGAGGTTGCAGTGAGCCAAGATCACGCCACTGCATTCCAGACTGGGCAACAGAGTGAGACTCTGTCTCAAAAAAAATAAATAAAAATAAATAGATTTCATCAAAATTAAAACATTTTATTTGTATACCCAAATAGCTTCTACATTCATAGCAACATTAGTCACAGTAGCCAAGAGGTATAAGCAGCTCAAGTTATGTCAGAAACTCTTATAACTCAACAATGGGAGGATGGACAGAAATGGACAAAAGATTTGAACATTTTATAAAAGAATAGCAGATTAGCACCTGAAAATATGATGCGTGACATCACTAGTCATAATGGGAATCTAAATTACAGCCACAGTGAGATACCATTAGAATGACTAAAATTTCGAAAACTAATCATACCAAGTGTCGGTAAGAATGTGGAGCACTTGGAACTCTCATATGCTGCCAGTTATATTGCAAAATGGCACAAGCACTTCAGAAAATAGTTTGGCAGTTTCTTTAAAAATTAAGCATATACCTGCTATACTAACTAGCCATTCCATTTCTAGATATTTTCCCAAGAGAACTCAAAGAATATGTCCATCGAATGACTTGTGCACAAATGTTCAAGCAGCTTTATTTGTAATAACCAAATCCTGGAAACAATTCAAATGTCTAGTGCACAGAAATTGTGAAGAGAGAGAGAGAGAGTGTGTGTGTGTGTGTGTCCATATACAATGGAATAACATTTAGCAATAAAAAGGAATCAACTGTTGGTACATGCAACAACATGGTGTTCCACAAGAGGCCCACAGGTGGAAAACAACCCCCAAATACTGAAGGACCTGAAGCCAAAGAAGGAGGCAGGCAAATCCAGTTTGTGGGTACAGGATGATTTATTGGGGGAACTTAAATACAGAAGTGTAGTATTGGGTGGCTGCAAGACAAGTGTATCTCCACACCACAACTAGACAGACCCAATATATCTTACATCTTGGGGAAAGTATACATGCTCTGGAAGGAATGTATAGGTGGATACAGTCATCCACCTACAGCTATGATTTCTGCAACAGCATCAAGGATTGTTTTGGAAGAAACTTACAATGAATAGATGTTTCTACATAAAGAGTATTACATCAACTAAGCATTTGGGAGGCATTCCTGGACTTGGGGTTAATCAGAAGTCACATTGTGGACTAGCATTTAAAATAAAGTCACTCTTGTCCCCACACATGGATAGATCATGAAACAATTATGCCGAGTGAAAGTAACCAAACCAAAAAAAGTACTTATTCTGTGGTTCCTTTTTTTTTTTTTTTTTTTTTTGAGATGGAGTTTCGCTCTGTCGCCCAGGCTTGAGTGCAGTGCACTCCAGCGATCTCCGCTCACTGCAGCCTCTGCCTCGGAGTAACTGGGACTACAGGCACTCTCAGCCATGCCCGGCTGATTTCTTATATTTTAGTAGAGACGGGATTTCACCGTGTTGCCCAGGCTTGTCTTGAACTCCTGAGCTCGGGCAATCTGCCCACCTCAGCCTCCCAAAGTGCTGGGATTACAGGCGTGAGTCATCGCACCCGGCCCTGTGGTTCCATTTTTACAAAATTTTACAAATGCACACTAACCTATAGTGGCAGAAAGCAAATCAGTGGTTGCTTAGGGACAGTGAGGGACAGGGAACTATGAACCTCAAAAGGACAAAGAAAACTTGGAAGTGGTAACTATGTTCATTATGTTGATTTTGGTTATGGTTTCACAGTACACATATGTCAAACTCATCAAATTGTATACTTTAAATATGTGCAATTTGTTGTATTTCAAGTATACCTCAATAAAGCTCTTAAAAAAAAAAAATTTCCCTAGCAAGGGATCATCTGTCAGGTGGGCACTAAGTTTACCTCATCTAATAATAATAAATTGAAGCCTGAGTGGTTGGCAATAAGAAGATAATTTTGTGACTAATGTGGATTGGGCTGCCTTATACTTTTGTTACCATTCTCTTCTCCACTACTCATCCCCAATTCTAAGCACCTTGAGCATAAAACTTACCATTTTTTGGTGTTTAGTCTGGAGCCATGCTCCAATATCAGCCTCATCCAATAGAATATGAAGTAATTAAACAATTGGAACAAGAGCTAATTCAGCAGCATTAGAAAGTTTAGAAATTAAAATGTGGCCCAGCGCAGTGGCTTATGCCTGTAATCTCAGCACTTTGGGAGGCCGAAGTGGGTGGATTACCTGAGGTTGGGAGTTCAAGACCAGCCTGACCAACATGGAGAAACCCCATCTCTACTAAAAATACAAAATTAGCTGGGCATGGTGGCACATGCCTGTAATCCCAGCTACTTGGAAGGCTGAGGCAGGAGAATCACTTGAATCCAGGAATTGGAGGTTGCGGTGAGCCAAGATCACACCATTGCACTCCAGCCTGGGCAACAAGAGCAAAACGCTGTCTCAAAAAAAAAAAAAAAAGAAAAAAAGAAATTGAAACGTTCATCAAGAGAAGGATAGTGATAAATTTCTACAGTAGAATTCCATACAACAGTGAGAAATTTATGAATTAAGAGTTACAGTTATCAACATGGATAAATCTCAGAAGCATAATGTGAAGTAAAAAAAAGTTACAAAAGGATACACATACTTTGATAAGATTTAAGTGTTTAAACTTATAAACTACTGTTTTTAAAATTTTTTTGTAAAGATAGGGTCTCACTATGTTGCCCAGCCTGGTCTCCTGGGCTCGAGCAGTCCTCCTGCCTAAGCCTCCCAAGTAGCTGGGACAACAGACGCATGCCACCACACCCAACTATTTGTGTTTTTTTTGTAGAGACAGGGTCTCAGTATATTGCCCAGGTTGGCCTCAAATTCCTGAGCTCAAGTGGTCCTCCCACCTTGGCCTCCCAAAATTTTGGAATTACAGGTGTGAGCCACCATGCCTGGCCTGTAAAGTACTACTTCTTACTTACAGTTATATACATATACATTAAAAGTATTAAAATATGAAAAAGAAGGACAGACACACCAAATGCAGGATAGATGTTAACTCTGGGATGGGACTGGAAGGGAATGCAGAGGGAACCTCAGTTGTATTTCTGATGCTTTCTTAGGTGGATTGATAAGTACATGAGTGTTTATTGCCACATATGAATTTCTTGATTTTAAAAAAACGTTTTAGGCTGGGAGCAGTGGCTCACACCTATAATCCCATCACTTTAGGAGGCTGAAGGAGGTGGATTGCCTGAGCCCAGGAGTTCAAGACCAGCCTTGGCAACATGGCAAAACCTTGTCTCTATCAAAAAAAACAAAAAACAACAAAAAAAAGTAGTTTAGTGGTGCACACCTATAGTTCCAGCTACTTGCTTGGGAGGCTGAGTGGGAGGATCACCTGAGCCTAGCACATCACGACTGCAGTGAGCTATGATCACACCTGCACTGCGGCCTGGACAATAGAGTGAGAGCCTGTCTCAAAAAAATAAAAAATGTTTTAAAAACCAAATATGGAGGAAACAGAACAAATGTTAAAGGTGGTTTGGATATAGAGCAAATTATTTTATTTATTCATCCATCTCCTTGTGTATCTGTTTTTCACAGTTTCTGTGTGCTCTGCCAAGAAGGGAAGGTTATGAGTTCTTCGTAGGACAATGGACAGGTACTGAACTCCACTTCACTGCACTTATAAATATTCAGGTAGGTGGCTTGTGCCCTTCCTCTAGAGAGGACTACGTCTTGGTGGGACTAGGGACCCTTGCTGAGGCTCAAGAACGTAGAGTATCTGCTGACTCCCAGCATTTATTGTTGTGGCACTGATGAATTGTCATACTTTTTATGTTGGGCTAGTTTTCTAGGCCCTCCTCAATACCTGGAAATTGGAAAAGACTCCAAAACACCTTCTCTGACTACTTCTGATTCTCTTTTGTCTCTTCCCCAAACCTCTAATTGTATATGCTGCATGTGCCTCACTTTAACAAACATGCCTGAGTTATGATAGTTATTTTTTTAACCCACGCTACAAGCCACTTGAGGAAAGCTCCAAGTCTTAAATGTGTTTTATTAACTGAGTCAACATCTCCCAACATGCTAAGTGAATAGTTTGTTTAGTAAATGTTGTTTTGTTTGCTTCCTTCCTTTTTGTTCTTTATTTCCAATAAAACAATATTAACTTTTAAATACTAGATTTAACCCTAACTTTTAAATATTATGGGATTGTGTTGGGAACTGTGCTAAGGCTTGGAGATCTATGAGACAAGATCCCTGCCTTCATGGAGCTAATATTCAAGTATAGGAGAAAGATCCAGAAACATAATTACAATAAAAGTGATTAATATAATATTAGAATAATAACCAAAATGATCAGTATAACATTAGAAGTATGTCCAAGAAAAATGAACTATTGCAAGTACCCTAGTGATAGTTGGATATGTATAATTAAAAAGACTCTTGCTGAAATTTTAGAGATAAGGTCCAGGAATCTTCTTTTGAATGTAGTTGTTTCCTCCTGTGCTGTATAGGGACTTTAGCTTTGAACCCATCCTCTCTACTTGGTCTAGACTTGAGGTTTAGTAACCACTGCCCTGATCATTCTTCATAAAATTATGGCGATTCCATCCTCCATCTCCCCTTCTCCCCTTCACGCCCCCCACCCCCTGCCCCGACCCAGATTATATTTTATAACTGCGCATTACAAATCTGGCTCATGTGCAAACTCTCCAGCTCCTGCTACAGCTTAAAAGAGCTCAGTCTTCAGAGCCAGCCAAGGGGAGTAGATTTCAGCTGTGAAATGCACTAGTCCATAAAAGTGGCAATTACACAGGCATCTTACTTTCTTTAGAACTTGATTTGGTAGCTGCTTGTGCCATTTTGTTTTTAAACATATGGTCACAGTGATGGATTCACTGCCTACTGTAAATATTTTCTGGGAAAAAATCCAAACCTTTTCCAGTTGAAGACATAAATAACACTGTGCAAACTGTCAGTTTCACTGTGACTTTGCAGTCCTAACCTTACTGCCACATACCAGTCCTCCAACTCACTAGCCACCCAAGGAGCTGTTAAGAGCCAGAATTTCCTCTAAACTCTCTATTGCTTTGAAATTGTAGTTTGTTGTGATGGTACCTTATTGAGCCTTGATAAGCATTCCACCTTGCAGACCCGAGGGGAAGCTGCAGCCAGCCAGCTGATTTTATATCACTATCCTGAACTTAAGGAAGAAAAAGGCATAGTGCTGATGACTGCAGAAATGGATTCCACATTTCTGGTAAGAATTAACTTGTAAAACTCTTTGGATTTACCTTGTGGCACTGAAGGTATTACTCTTCTGCCGAAGCTCAGGAAATTTCAGAGAGCTACATATAGCTTGTTTCTTATTTATTTTAAAGTTGACAGTAAAGTTGTCTTGCTCAAGATCTTCCGATCTGAGGTTAGTACAGATCCTTAATCATTTATTCACAATTCTGAAACCCATGGGCTCTGAGAACAAAATGTTTTTGTTCTCATTTTGTCACAAAACCTTATGTAAACTTGAACTCATTTGGTAACTAAATTTTTAAATTGATGTGAAACTATTTATATAATTAATCCCACTTGGTATGGTGTATTATGCATTTTACTAGGGAAATATTAATGTGTTTGAGTATGGGGAGTCACATAATATACATATACAGTGTCTGTACCTATTACCTTTCTAAAATTCAATAATTCTGAATCCAAGACACATCAGGCCCTAAGAGTTTCAGGTAAGAAATTATAGTCAAGTAAATGGCTTCTTAATTATAGGGAAGAGCTGTAGGGAAGCCTAGGATAGCTGTCAATATTTTATCTTCCTTCATACTGTTCGTGTGTACAACATTCATCATTTATAGTGATTTTCTTTCCTCCTTTTCCCATTCCTGGATGGAAATCACTGAGATAGAGCATTGACCATATGTTCATAGCTAATGATGCCCACTATGTTCTCTCTGCACATCCAGGTGCCAGGAGCAGTGTTGTGATTGCTGTACATTCTGTTTGTCTAGTCCTTGCTCATTGTGATCACATTTAGCTGGGAAAGGTTAAGTTCAGAATGTCCCCAAACAGTGGACACTTCCTTCTAAGTCTTCATTGCAATACCCACTTATTTTTTCTCTTTATCTTACCAGCTGCATAGGGGGAAAGAAGTGATGTCACTCAACTAATATCACAGTAGCAGTAAGCCACAAACCTAGGACACAATGAAGATTCTACTTCCCTATTCTTGAAGCTATTCAGTTCCATCTCTCCCATTCTTCCTTCCACATAAAGGCTTCCATTCATCACATCAACTGAAAGTTACCCAAAATTCTGTCCAAAAATATAGAGTTGCCATTAACTGAGATAGGAAAGATTGCAGGAGGAATAGGTTTGATAGGGAAATCAGGAGCTCACTTTTGTATGGGTTAAATCTGAGATGCCTATTAGATATTCAAGTAGTAGGCAATTAGATATATGAGCCTGGATTCATGGGAGAGGTCCAGGCTGGATGTGTAAATATGGGAATTGTCAGCATACAGATTGTACTTAAAACCATGGGACTGAATGAAATCACCAAGCAAGTAAGTAAAAATAGAGATGAGAAGAGAACTAAGAACTGAGAGAGGGGTCTTCATCCCTTGAGAAATGAAGAAGCATCATCAAAGATAAAGGAGGAATGGTCGTGAGGTAGAAGGAAAATTAAGATTGTAGAATGCCCTAGAAGCTAAAATTGAATGTTTCGAGGAATAGGGATGATTCAACTTACCAAATCTCCCTTGTTTTTTCGGGCAAATGAGATGAGGGCTGAGAATTTACTGATTTCACAAACATGGAAGTCACTGGGGGCCTTATAAGAGCAGTTTCATAAAAGTGTGATTGGAGTAGATTTAAGAGAGGATGGAAAGAGAAACCATGAAGAATCAGCTTAGAAACTCTTTCAAGGGGCATTTCTATAAAGGGAAGGAGAGAATGGGGTATTAGCTGGAGGTGGAGAAGTACAGCCAAGGGTATCTTTTGTTTCAAATATGAGAAAGATAGCATCATATTTGTATGCTGATGGGAAAGGTCCAGTAAGAGTCTGGGCACAGTGTCTCATGCTTGTAATCCCAGCATTTTGGGAGGCTGAGGCAGGTAGATCGCTTGAGCTCAGGAGTTTGAGACCAGCCTTGCCAACACGGTGAAACCTTGTGTCTACAAAAAATACAACAGTTAGCCAGGCATGGTGGCATGCAACTTGTAATCTCAGCTGCTCAGAAGGCTAAGATAGGAGGATCACTTAAGCCCCAGCAGCAGAGGTTACAGTGAGCTGAGATTGTGCCATTGCACTCCAGCCTGAATGGCAGACCCAGACCCTGTCTCAAAAGAAAGTTCCAGTAGAAAGGGAAATAACTGGGGGAAGAAGTGATATATTTGAGTAGGCAAGTCTGGTAATGCAGGTTGATTTTTACCAGGAATATGATAGCAGGAGAGAAGCCAGGGTGTAAAGACATTGATATAATTAGATGGATAGAGGTAGTGGTATAAGTTTTCTACAGATAGCTCAGTGAAAAGAAAGAAAAGTTATCAGCTGAAAGCAAGGTTGGGAAAATGTTGGACATTTTAGTCAAAAAGAGGAAGTACAAAATTGTTGTCTAGGACAAGCGTCAGCAAACTACAGCCTGTGGGCCAAATCCAGCCCACTGCTTGTTGTTATAAGGCCTGCAAGTTAAGAATGTTTCCTATCTTAGCCGGGCGCGGTGGCTTACACCTGTAATCCCAGCACTTTGGAAGGCTGAGGTGGGCGGATCACCTGAGGTCAAGAGTTCAAGACCAGCCTGACCAATATGGTGAAATCCCATCTTTATATAAATAAATAAATAAAATAAAAAAGAATGTTTCCTATCTCTTTAAATGGTTAGATGGGAAAACTCTTTATTGTTATAGAAATAAAGAAATTATTTATTTAATAATAAAGACTATCATTAAAGAAAAGTAGTATTTCAAGTTTTATTGGAACACAGCCGTGTTCATTTATTTACATATTATCTGTGGCCTGAACGAAAGTAAAGGTGAATGCAAAGCAATGTTTATTGACCACATAATGGAAGCTGGGTCATAAGGAAAGTGAAAATATAAGGGAGGTTAGAGACAATAAGAATTTTGAGTCCTAGTGGGTTGTGGAAGTTGAAAGTGAGCAGATAGGAAATAATTTAATCATGCAAGTGAATGACAAAATAGAGAGTGTAGTATATTTTCTGGTCTTTGGCAAAGCACACATCTAATCACATTAAAAGTGGATCCCAGAGGTCAGAGAAGGCCCATTCTGCTTTTTGCCATTTTTACCACCTCACTCTGGTGGTCTCAAACTGCTGCACATTTCTCATCATTGTTAAAATTTGCTTCCTGGCCTTTTAACATTTGAGAGCATACAAGATAATATATATTTGTGTTGTATAAATCAGCTTGACTGTGAGGCTCCAATGCAGTAAATATAGAACTAGACATGTTAGAACTGATTGTACATGACTTAAAGAAGGGAAACTTAGAAGTATAACGTAAATATATGATCCCCTGTATACTCATGCATGAACTGTGCACTTTAAGCGTAGTATTTCCAACTATGGTACAAAGCATTAACTTCAAATGAATAGAAATACATGGAAACTAGAGGTTTCTTCTGAACTAACTTGCTGAAAAACTAATGGAATATTCAAAAACCTAGCTTTATTTGGCTCCACATCTATTGTCAATAGATGATTTCATTGAAATGCAGTAAATGCTAGGATAGACATGCAGAAGGCTCTAGGGGTAGAGAGTGGGGTGGTATCCCTGGCCAAAGGGAGTAAGATTTCCTGGAGATGACACCCGGGCTGAACCTTCAAACACCAGCAGGAGTTTAGCCCAATAAAGAAGGGGAGAAATATTTCTGACAGAGGGAATAACATAAGTAAATGCTGAGAGACATAAAATGACTTGGAGTGTTATAAAGAGCTTGGTATCACTTGTGTGTGTGTGTATGTCTGTGTATATAAGGAGGTTTGGTGGGTTGTGTTTAGAGATTTGGCTTTACCCTAAGGGCATGGAAGGAGTCGTTAAAGGATTTGAATAGAGAAGAACCCATAAGGAGTTGGATTTTAAGACCACTAACCTTAATTATCTGCTTCCTAAACATTCTGCGGTTCAAGTCTGGTCAGTATGATAATTTAGAAGTCAGTTGCAATAGTCTGCACAAGAAGTGGTCAAAACTTGAGCCAGAGCAGTGGTAATAGAGATGGAAGAAAGAGAATGACCCCAGAAATATGTAGGGAATAAAATAGGCAGGACTTGGTGCACTGATTATAGATTTGAAGATTGAAAGAGAGGGAGGAATCCAGTTTGTTAAAATACCTCTTTATTGGGCAGCACAGGGAGTTAGTATATTTATCTTATTGGGTCTTGGAAAGGAGGAGACTATTGCTTCATGTTGAGAGCCAAGAGAACAAAAGGCAGGGGGAGAATAAGCGTGGTGGGGGTTGCCTTTCTATAACCCTCCATGAGAGATAGACATCTCTCCCTGTGTCTTACCTTCCTACTCACTGCACTAGTGGTCTTCAAACTTCTCTTTAAAGTAGTAGGAGGATCCCTTTATCCAAACAAAATCTGATTATGTAAAACCCCAGGATATGACAGCTAAAAGAGAGGGGAAGGGACCTGAGGCACCTCCACAGAGCCCCTAGGATTCTATAGAATAGTTTGAACAGCAGTGTTCTAGGATGAACACAGCTGAACTTACTCCTGCCTTCACCACCCCCAGCTTCAGATAAAAGTTGATGTCAGAGGCCCTGTAGACCAGGGGCTGAGAGAATGGTAGTATCCTCAGATTACGGCAGTGCACTTGCTTCAGAAATGATTTGCTCTTGAGGCATCGGTGAATTTAAGAAAGGTAAAATGGATGAAGTAGAGTTATTGACCTTAATCAATCTTAATTATCTTGCCTTACCAGAAACAAAAGCAGGATGAAATGGGGGGAATACCAGCCAGAGAGTCTAGAGGTCTGATCCTGGCTGTGACCTTGGCTGGCTACTTGACCTTGGGCCCATCCCTGAACCTCATCTACTTTGGTTTCCTAGCCTATTAAATGAGAACTGGGTGATCTCTGAGGTCCCTTCTAGCTTTAAAATTCTATTAATTTGAAGTAGCCAGCTTTTTGGGAAAAGGTTTTTGATTGAAGATGCAGTCTCAGAGATTAGTGCCTGCTCATGAGAAATGACCTGAAAGTCCCACAGAGGGAATAGAGGTAGAGCACAGCCTGTTATTTATAAACCCATCTTCATCATTTTCTAGCTAGACATAGCACACTTTTGGCAGTCAGTTTTTACTGGGAATTTTTCATTATCTTTTGAGGTTTAATTTTGGCCATATGAACACAGTGATAATAATGGACAAGTACTTCTGACCAACTGGAACTGCAGAATGTATGGCAAAAGTTAGGGTTGTCTGAGGTGACTCTTTTGCAAGGTTTGAAAGTGTACACTATGTCCTTACCCCCATCTCTCTCATTTTTTAATTTTTATTTTTATATAATTTTTTTTAGAGATAGAGTTTTGCTGTGTTACCCACGCTGGAGTGTACTGGCATGACTATAGCTCAGTGCAGCCTCAAACTCCTGGGCTCAAGTGATCCTCCTGCCTCAGCCTCCCGAGTAGCTAAGACTACAGGCTCATGCTATCATATCTGGCTAATTTCTCCACCTCTGTCATGTAGAGTGGCCTCTTACTGAGCTTTAAAGAAGGCGGCCCTTTCTCTTCCCTGGGCCCTTGCTGACGTATTAGTTATAAATGGCTGCATAACAAATTACTACAAAACCTAGTGGCTTAAAACAACAAAATTACCTCACAGTTTCTGTGGTTCAGGAATTGAGGAGAAGTTTAGCTGAGTGATTCTGGCTTAGAGTCTTATGAGGTTGCTCTCAAGATGTTGTCTAAGGGTACAGTCATCCAAAGGTTGATTGGGCTTGAGCATCCACATCCAGCCCCTCTCACATGACTCTTGGGAGAGGCCTCATGTCCTCGTCATGTTAGCTTTTCTATAGGACTGCTAGAATGTCCTCACAACATGGCAACTGACTTTTCCCAGAGCAAGAAAGATAGCAAGAGAGAAGCTACAACCTTTTATGGCTTGTTAGAAGTCATTCTCCATCATTTTTCATAGTCTTTTTTTTTTTAAGAGATAGGGTTTCACTGCATTACCCAGACAGGCTCAAGCAGTCCTCCCACCTCAGCTTCCTGAGACTATAGGCTCATACCAATGCCCCCAGCCATTTTGTCATAGTCTATTTGTTAGCAGGAAATCATTGAGTGTAGCCCTCACTCAAGGAAAGGGAAATTAGGCTCTATCAAAGGGAGGAGTATCATAAAATTTGTGGGCAAATTTTGAAACCATTACAGCCGGCTCTGGGAGTACTTTTCTGACCAAGGTGGTATCATAATAGGTTTTATTCAAGTGTATGTCTGATTAGTCAAGAACTTAGTTCTCACTCACAAACTGGTTCTTAGAGCTGGGTAACCATTGCTCTCTTATTTCCCTTTTGAGACATATTTAACAATTATTAAGGAACTGGATGAAGAGGTATAATGTGAACATGTACATTAATTTATTCAGTAAACATTCACCAGATGTCACTGTGTGCAGAGATATAAAATAAACCACGATCTATGTCTTTGAGGAATTTGTACTAGAGAAAATAGACAAAAAAAGAAAAAAATATAATACAGTATGATAAATACTATGATAATGGTAAGCAGAGGATGATTTGGTACACAGGGAAGGGGCACCTAACAAAGACTAGGGACATCAGGAAGTTAGGGAAACTTTCTAGAAGTGGTGACTCTTGGGCGGGGGCCCCCACCCAACACAGAACTGAGACAAGAGCTTTGTGGCCCTGTGCAAGAAAGGACCTCATTATTCTTTTTACCTTACCTCACAGAATGTTGCTGAGGCACAGTGCATCGCCAACCAAGTTCAGCTCTTCTATGCTACTGACCGGAAAGAGACCTATGGGTTAGTGGAGACCTTTAACCTCAGACCAAATGAGTTCAAATATATGTCTGTCATCGCTGAATTGGAGCAAAGCGGACTTGGAGCAGAACTGAAATGTGCCCAGAACCAAAATAAGACTTAGAAGTGTACAGGTTGGCCCTTTACTATAGTCCAAAAAAAAAAGAAAAAAAGGACTATGAAAAATGATGGAGAATGACTTCTATCTAGCCATAAAATGTTGTAGCTTAGCTCTTGCTAGTTGGCTTAGTCCTTGATAGTCTAGAGCCCACCCACTCCTCAAGAACTTAAGAGCTCAGCATCTATAATGAGCAGTTGGTAATGAGTTGCCCTATGTCTTACTGCAAGCAGTCATGGAGATGAGCCCTATTACTTGATATTCAGGAATGAAGATACCCGAACATTCTGATAATTACCTCAGCATACTTGAGGTTTCCTTTTTTAAGTGTTTGAAGTTACAACAAAAGACAACCAAGGACATACAAAACATCTGACTTATTTTGCACAGTGTAACAGCGCAGTTGCATTCTGGCCATTTTGACCTCATAGCTCCCAAATGATGAGTTTGTCATCTTTATAAAATCGTGACAGGATAATAATAAGCTTGAAGACCTGCTATAGTTAGAGATGGGCTTTAATGCTTCCCATGCACCAGTCAGTTGGACAAAAGCATAAGCCAAACATCCTGTTCACACTGTAGAATAACCAGATATACCCATCAAGATTAAGACTTCATCTAGATGATGTCCCCTAGAGATGCCTTTAGTATAGCTGGCTTGGGGTATCAGCCAATTTCAGATATAGTTAGATAAACAGTACAGGGCCTGCATACTATTAAGCCATAGTTTTTGGCACCCACTTCTCTAACTCCACCTGTTAGAAGCTGTGTGTTTGAAGGAGTGAATCAGTGCAGTGTAAATAAAATGCTTTTGTAAGACGAAGATTAATCCAGATTTGCATGATTTTTTTGAAAACAACTCTAAACATGATACAAAAAAGTGGGTGAAAGCAACTGTTCCCAGATTTGGATGTGGGGAAAATATAGCAATAATTTTTTTTTAAGTCTGGCTTGCAATCTTTGTTCTACAAAATAATGAAATCTAAGTTATGTACTGTCCATAGTATCAGGGCTATGGGCTGATTTTATCAAAAATCATCTTGGGACTCAACAGTTGCTTGGAATGCCAGAAATAAGAAAGTAGCTCTCCAGTGCTGGAAATCCATCTTTTGTTTGTAGTGTCACTGTTGTGGCACCAAGCTCAGTAATAGGAAAGGACAGTGGTTACACACCAGCCTCCTGAACCCAAAGCCTCCAGTATTGTTGTCAGCTGCCTTTACTATGGCATTTCTTTCTCTTCCTTTTTTTCCTGAGATGAAGTCTCACTCCGTCTTGCCTAGGCTGGAGTACAGTGGTGCAATCTCAGCTCCCTGCAACCTCTACCTCCCTGGTTCAAGTGATTCTCCTGCCTCAGCCTCCCAAGTAGCTAGGATTACAGGCACATGCCACCACACCTGGCTAATTTTTGTATTTTTAGTAGAGATGGGGTTTCTCCGTGTTAGCCAGGCTGGTCTCGAACTCCTGGCCTCAAGTGATCCACCCATCTTGGCCTCCCAAAGTGCTGGAATTACAGGTGTGAGCCACTGCACCTTACCTGACATTTCTTTATTGATCTAACATGCTCCACTTTGCTGCTCCTGCCTAAGATCTGGTTGGATGATGCAGAATGTGGTGAGTGGGAATTTAAGCAATATTTGCAGTTTGTGTGTGTGTGTTTTCTTCCAGAAGGCTTTTTGTAGGTTGGGCCTGTCCCTAAGCTCCTTAAATAGAATGGACATTTCACTATTCTCTGAGCTGTGTCTCTTTTGTTGTATCTTTGAGTCTATGTATTAAGAGAGACGGACAGTATTTGTTTAACCTGGGGAAGCTGCTATCTTTTCACTATTTCTCTAAAGTTGAGCTGTTTCCTAATGTAAATTCTGGACCTGCTTCTGGTCCTGGCAGTTTATCTTTTGAGAAACTTGAGTCTTATCAGCACTTCTATTTTCATTAAATGCCTTCTGACCTTCTGAATGTTTTGGGTCCTAATAATTTTTGACATCACATGGGGTTGTTTTTATGCGTATCCAGTTATGTTTGCTTTTCTTTCCAGATGGACCCACTTATTAGCCTTACATGATACATTGTTACACCTCCACCAGCAGGTGAAGAAATGATGGAAAAGGGAGTAAGAAACAGGGGCCAAGCACGGTGGCTCACGTTTGTAATCCCAGCACTTTGGGGGCCTGGGGCGGGCAGATCACGAGGTCAGGTGTTTGCGACCAGCCTGGCCAACATAGTAAAACCCCATCTCTACTAAAAATACAAAAATTAGCCAGGTGTGGTATCACACGCCTATAGTCCCAGCTACTTGGGAGGTTGAGGTGGGAGAATCGCTTGAACCTGGGAGGAGGAGGTTGCAGTGAGCCGAGACCACACCATTGCACTCCAGCTTGGGTGACAGAGTGAGACTCCATCTCAAAAAAAAAAGTAAGAAATGGCCATTTGTTTTAATCACTCCTCCTGGCTTTGCCCTCAGTCCCTACCTGCCAAGAAGGATATGTCCATGAATAATTATGTTGGGCATGACTAAAGTACATGTAGCTGTTCTTTGTATTTATTTACCTAGAAAGATCTGGCAAAGAACTCAAAGAAAATTTGCCATTTGATCAGTCAGTTTGTTCCCTGGTGCTAGCTAGCATGGATGGTGCTAGAGAAAGTGGACAGGCTTTAGAATTAAGTGAATCTGGGTTCGTATGTTAGTGTTTCTATTCATTAGCTCTATGTTGTTGAACAAATTGCTTAAACTATCTAATTCTGGGTTTTTCCATCAAAAATAGGGATAATATTATCTACCTCATAGGATTATTGTGAGAGTTCAATTAACTTCACTACAGTAGAAAATATCAACTACCATCCTTTACTTCCCTTGCCCCTCATTAAAGACTAATACAAGTTAGCATTTCAGATGTGTAGATCATTCTTTATGCCAGTTAAAAGAACAAACTTTATCTCATCAGTTCTCAAACTTTAAGATGCGGTAGAATCACCTAGAATGCTTTTAAAATGCAGATTCTCAGGCCTCAACCCTACCTTCCTGCACTAAATCAAGATTGTACAGAAGGGACTGGGAATCTACTTGTTAATATGTGCTCCAGATAATTCTAATGTAGGTAATTAGCCAACCACACTTTGATAACCATTGCCTTATTTATTCTTTACAAAAATGTACATTGCCAGGTCTTTCTTTCCCGTGGATGCTAACTACAGGATTATTTAGGTTCCTCTGCTCTTTGTCTCCCGTAGTGGCCCCCTTTGCAAACTCCAGATACTTTATATTTATTTATTCTTGTGTCTTTTTCCCCCAACTAGACTGTGAGCTCCTTGAGAGCCAGGATTTATCTCTGTTCCCAGTGCCAAGGACATGGCCTGGACCATAGAAATACTTAGTTTTTTGTTGAATAAATAGGTAACATGGATTTCAGCCAAAACATTGTCTTGTGTATGTACCTTTATTTAAATACCCTAGATTTAAAAGAATCTCTTAATACACTTAGATCGAGAATTTGTTGAGTGGGAATATTTGCAAATCAAAATACCAAGTTATACACAGTCTCTGTACCTCACCTGATCCACTGGCATTACCTTGGTGGACCATTACACAGTACAACTTAACAGTTGCTCACAGCATCTACTCTGCAGCCACTATGTTAAGTGCTAGACACAGAAAGATGAATAGGGTATGATTCCTGCTCTCAAGCTGTGTTTCAGCCACTGCCTGTTTCTCTCTTGCTTCTAATTCTGTGCCTAACACCTACACCTGATTATAGTTTGCTTTGTCTTCTTCTCGGATGGTCATACTGGCACTTCTTTCTTCAACCAGTTTGGAAGCTGGAGCCACATGTTTTATGTTGCATTCTCCATACTAACCTTTTGTTCAGTCTTGGAGAAGAGATACTAATGCTCACTTCCCAGTCATTTGATTTGGCATTGAGTCAGCATTCACTCACACTTATTGAGCACCTATTTGCCAAGCACTGTTAAAAAAAAACTGGATAATATAGCAATGAACATAGCAAATAAGGCTGCTGTTCTCATGTAGTTTATAGCTTGTAAAGAAGACAAATAAGCCAATAAAATTATTTCAAATATGGTAGTGCTATGAAAATTAAAAACTAATATTATAGACTATGGAGTGGCGGCAAAACTTAATCAGGAGAGGCATCTCTGCAGCAGTGGCAGCCGATTCATGAGCTGGGGAAAGAGAACTAAGTAAAAAGAACAGTAAGTGTTAACACCTGAAGCAGAGCCAAGCTAAGAATGCTTGTTTCTGGACAGATATAAAGGTTCAGTATCTACCTTTTAGGAGCCCGCAGTTCAGTGGCATGGCCCTGACATGAATGATTACAGTACAAGATAAACTGATCAATGCCATCTCAGAAAAGAGGCAAAGAGAGTTAAGGAACTCTACTGCATGCTATGGAGGATGCAAAGCTTGCCAGACTAGGTACCCACCCATGAAGTACTTACGGCTTAATGGGGAATGACAGGTAGACAGTGTTAAAGTCTCAGAGGCTATATGTTTCTGTCAAGAGACAAGAGGTACTGCGGGCTCAGAGCTGGCCTCCCAAGCTAGTCATGTAACTACATAACAATGTTTTGGTCAAGTTGGATTGCATATGCAACCGTGGTCCCATAAGATTATAATGGAGCTGAAAATTTACTATTGCCTAGTGACATCATAGCTGTGCTAATGTTATAGCACAATGCATTATGTGTGGTGATGCTGGTATAAACCTACTGTACTTCAAGTCATATAAAAGTATAGTGTATGGGGGCCAGATATGGTGGCTCACGCCTGTAATCTGAACACTTTGGAAGGCCAAGTCAGGTGGATCCCTTGAGTTTAGAAGTTTGAGACCAGCCTGGACAACATAGTGAGACCTCATCTCTACAAAAATATTTAAAAATTAACTGAGCATAGTGGTGCATGCCTGTAGTCCCAGCTACTCAGGAGACTAAGGTGGGAGGATCCCTTGAACCCAGGAGGTTGAGGCTGCAGTGAGCTGAGATGGCACCACTGCACTCCAGCCTGGGTGACAGAGCAAGACTCTATCTCAAAAAATAAAAAAGTATAGTGCATAAAATTAAGTACAATATATAATGCTTGATAATAGTAAATGGCTATTACTGGTGTATGTATTTACTACATTTTTTATCATTTAGAATATGCTCCTTCTACATATAAAAAATAGCCGGGTGCAGTGGCTCACGCCTGTAATCCCAGCACTTTGGGAAGCTGGGGTGGGCGTATCACGAGGTCAGGAGTTCTAAACCAGCCTGGCCAACATGGTGAAACCCCATCTCTGCTAAAAATGCAAAAATTAGCCGGGTGTGGTGGCACACACCTGTAATCCCAGCTGCTCAGGAGGCTGAGGCAGGAGAATTGTTTGAACCTGGAGGCAGAGGTTACAGTGAGCCGAGATCACACGACTGCGCTCCAACCTGGGAGACAGAGCCAGACTCCATCTCAAAAAAATGAAATAAGTCAATTGTAAAACAACTTCAGTCAGGTCTCTAAGGAGTTATTCCAGAAGAAGGCATTGTTCTCATAGGAAATGACAGCTCCATGTGTGTTACTGCTCCTGAAAACCTTCCAGTGGGACAAGATGTGGAGGTGGAAGTTAGCAATGTTGATGATCCTGACCCTGTGTAGGCCTAAATTAATGTACATGTTTGTGTCTTAGCTTTTAGCCAAAATGTTTAAAGTAAAAAATAAAATTTTTTAATAGAAAAAAAGCTTATAGAATAAAGATAGAAAATATTTTGTACAGCTATACAGCGTGTTTGTTTTAAGCTAAGAATAATTATAGTCCAAACGTTTTAAAAATTAACAAGTTTATAAAGTTA